GGAGAATGAGGAACTCATGGAAGAAGTGTTGGTTGCATTGGAGCTTGTAGATCCAGACTTTGTTCACCTTGATCTTTCTTCTAGAGGTATAAAGTTTGAATCTTGATGATGATATCGTTAGATCTAGCTAGTTTTGAGTGTTATGAACTTTTGGTCACTTTAAATGCATAAAGTTTAGATCTTGAAAGTTTGTGACCTTGTTATGGATAAAGTTGGAAACTTTATCCATCCAAACATCATTTTGATTCAGATATGAAGATTTGAGACTTGGACTTAATGGATTAAATTGAAAAATATGCACTTTTTGGGTCCCTTTGAGACTTAAAGACTAGATCTTGTTTGTTGGGACCATTCTAATGGATAAAGCTGGAAACTTTATCCATTATGGAGCTATTATGAACCATAAATATGATCTTGAATGTTGTATATAACCCATGTGTTAGATGGTCTTAATGGGTTAAGAACATAGGATTTTGGATATTAAGCACTTAATGGCCATGCAAGACCATAAATTTGGATATTTTATGGTCAAGGACATCATTTTGGGCTTAGATCTGGAAAATGGGCTTAAGAGCTTAAGGATTAAGCTCCTAATGAGTTGGGTTGGCATCTAACTGCGTACGTTGCGCGTACGTGGTCTACATGCCCGTGCCTGGTCAACTAACGCGTACACTAGGTGTACAGCTGAGTACGTTGGTCATACTCAGCTGGGTTGACTCGGTTGACTTTTTTTTGGAATTTTGACTTTTACCTGATTTTGACCAAGTTTGACCAAGGGGTATTTTGGGTATTTTGGATTGTGTTTGAGAATTGGTCATTTGGATGGATATGTGACGGTTAGAGCTGAGATTCGGAGTCGGGACCTCATCAGCTATTGATTAGATCGAGAGGTGAGTTTTCCTCATTGTACTTACGAGTCGAAGGCACCAAGGCCGACCCATTAGATTATATATCTTGTTATGTGATAGTATGTTATCGTGGTGTAGTGATCTGTTTGATCGGTATTCTTGTAGATAGGATGATGTTATGCAGTAGTGCTCTGTAGATCTATCTGATAGTTTATTGGTCGGTTATATGTTTATTTTTTATATGTGCATATATTTTGGTTGGTGGTTGAGGCTTTACTGCTATGTGCGTGAGCCAACAGACCGGGGACATTCCAACCCGGTGGTTGACTGGGCCCGAGGGTATTCTGTCCCGATGATGACTGAACTCATTGTATAGTGGCATTCCAACCTGGGGTATTCCATCTGAGGATGACTGGACCCGGAGGTTGATTGGGCCTGGGGTATTCCAATCTGATGGTTGATTGGATCCATAGTATATTGGCATTCCAACCCGATGGTGATAGGTTCTGGGGTATTCCAACCCGATGGTTGACTGGACCCATAGTATATTGGCATTCCAACCCGATGGTTGATTGGATCTGGGGTATTCCAACCCGATGGTTGACTGGACCTATAGTGTATTGGCATTCCAACCTGGGGTATTCCATCTCGAGGATAACTGGACCCGGAGGTTGATTGGGCCTGGGGTATTCCAACCCAATGGTTGATAGGACCCGACATGTTGTTGTATATCTTATTTTTTATGTTTATGTGGTGGTATTTTGGAGGAACTCACTAAGCTTCGTGCTTACAGTTTTGGTTTATGGTTTCAAGTACTTCAGAGGACCGTGGCAAGGCGAAGGCGTAACCATACACATCCTGATTTTATGTCGTTTATCTTGGGAGACACTGATTTTTAAATAATGTTTTGGAAACAATGCTTTTGTAAACACTTTTATTAGTAAATAGGTTGTTTTGAAAAGTTTTAATTGGTTGAAATTTTTGGGACGTTACATATTGCTTTGTCCTCAAGTTTTGTGTAGTTAAGTGGCCATTGATTGCATGAACTTGTTATCCTAGTTGTTTATGATCATTAAGAGGGTGTTTGGCTTAGCTTTTGAAAGCCAAAAAGTCCTTTTTTGTAAAAGTTGGAAAAGTCAGGATTACGTGACTTTTCAAAAAGATGTCATTTACTCTATTGGAAAAGTTGGAAAAGTCAGGATTACCAAACATCTTTTTGACTTTTAGAAAAAGATAAAAGTGAAAAGTCACTTTAAAAGTTATGTCAAACACCCTCTAAATTGCTAGAGCTAGGGGTTGATCATACCTTAGTATACGTGATAAAGTTTGTTGCTTAATTGTGTTAAAGAGCATTATTTGATCATAATAATTGCTTGATTGTCTAATCTTGATCATTGATAGATAATTCTTAGATCATTCTTTTATAGCCCAAATAGATCTTAAAATCAATTAGTGTTCTTAACTAACATGATCATTATGCTTAAGGTTCATAAATTGAAATATGCTAGTTAGTCTGATCATGATAATTATTGATTTTTAATTTGTTATCCAACTGATATTAATCCATTGTTTGAAATTGACCATATGAAAAAGGGGGTTCTAAGCTAAACGAAAGTATCTTCTTCCCTTGATTAAAAATCGTTTTCAAATTGTTTGCTTAGCTTGAAGTAATTAGTTATTTAATTTAAGTTTTTATGAAATTGAAAAATCAGATAAACCCCCCAAATAATTATTCTCTTAGTTTAATTTTTGGCATTATTTTCTTAACTAGAATATCGTTGTCTATGTTCGACTCTTATATACTCTACTTTATTACTACGTGACTAGGTACAATGTCTATTGTTTTTTAGCTGAGTTGAATAATTAGGATATAAATTTAAAGCTTTTAAGTGGTTATATATAAAAACACATCAATAAGCAAGTTTATGAAAGATTGTTAGCTACAAAACGAAGAGGTTTCTATGTGGAGACACCCTTACCCGACGAAACTCAATTTTCGAGTTATTTAAGACCTCATTCATACGATGCTACAGGAGGTATTTATGGAATTTTTATTAAGAGATATTATTTATTTCAAAGCTCTAGTTTTTATGCATTTTGTTGAATCTGTGAAAAATTTTAAACTATCATAGCTAAATCGTTTGAAGTCGGAATGACATGATATTTTTCCAACTTGTAGTTTATTGTTTTTACTTAATTTTATACTACAATTTCACCTTTTTTGTTACATATTAATTGAGTTACAGCCCCCCGAAGACGGGGTATCAAGGGTGAAATATTTTTAGTTTTTCTGCATCTTGATGAATCCTAATCCATTCTTCATGTATTTTTGATAGAAATAAAATATGAAAAGGATCTAGGTATAGCATCGGAACATTAGGATTTCACTATGATAACAAATATGGTGGCATTCCTTAAAAAGTTTAAGACAAAATGGAAATTGTTTCGACCACATCAAAACGTTTACTACATCTCTTTATTTATGAAGTTTTAGATGTGAACATGAATTTAAGAAATTGGCCGCCAAACCAAAGTTTACTAAAATGATAATAGACATGAATGCGAAATACGATAAATATTGGGGTGACTATGACAAGATGAATGATTTACATACTTTGGTGTTTTCTTTGATCCTATCATCAAATCACTTTTTTTTGTTACGTTCATTTAAAAAAAAGATTGATTACGTGGATAAATTATCCAGGAAATTAGACATAGAGTATAAAGGGCGTCAATGGTTTAAGAGGTCGACATGCAAATGGAGAAATATTTAGGACCAATCTAGAAAGACTCGACAATTGTGGATTTTCTCAACAAAATAGTCGTGAAAAAGTTCGTTGATGATGTTGATAATGACGTTTTCGCCAATCTCTATGATACGGATGGTAGCAACTCAAATCCGAAGAATAACGAATTAAGAAGCTATTTGAATGATAATCTGATGGTTTACTAAAAAGATTTTGATATTGTCGATTGTTAACACATTAGATAACATAAAGTCAAATCCATGTAACTTTTATATCAAAGTCATGTGTTTTGGGTAGTAAAAGTTGGCTAATCATAGAAAACCACAAAAAAAACAAACAGGCTAATACAGACAAACGAAAATTATGTGAAAGGAACCCAACAACCAAACAAAAATATGTAAGCAAACCAAATATATAATACAAACAAATGAAAAAATCATGAAAGGAACATGGAAACCGAGAAGAAAAACCTATATTGACGATAAAACAAACAAAATACCTAATCATAGTTTGGTTATAACTTTTATAACATTTAGTATATTGCCAAAACCGAAACCAGATTTGTAACGAATATGAAATATTTTCAATAGTTTAATAACCACGTGTGGCTTATGTTTTATAAAATTTTGTTAGCATTTATGTGGGGAAATCTTTAGAAAAGCCCCAAAAAATTTTAAGAAAAATTAACGATTTAGTAATAATCTTTTTTTAATAGAAAAACCCAAAAAACCAAATAATTAGGTAATTTATTTACTTTCCCCCATTTTGACATTTTCAGCAGCTAAATATATTTTTATATGTATAAATATGTATTTAAAATGTATTTAGATGGTTTCTTGGATTTTTTTCTTTTAAAAAAAATAACACTTAATCATTAATTTTTTTGAAATTTTAGAATTTTTTTTGGAGATTTCTCACATTTATACGCATATTATATGAAACAATAAGTGAAAACCTCATTTGATATAATATTTATATGGAGTGTAAAAAACCGAGTTTCAAAGTTCTTGAAACATGAAAGATTATAGAGATGTTCGATATGGACTTTTAATAAAAAAATTGGAAAAAAAAATTTTCGTTAGGCCGTAGGAGCTTTTAGTTTTTATTTAAAATAAAAAACTTAGTAATCTAAAAAATTAATTCAAATAGTTTTTCTTTTTTTTGAGCTTTTAGCTATTGGTTTTATTGAGTTTTACATCTTTAAAAATTACTAGCTTTTTTTGCCAAACATTTTATGTAAATAAAAGCAACAAATGTTATTTGTTAGCTACCAACTACCGTCTACGGATTATCAATTATCAGCTATCATCAACTATCAGTTTTGAGCATCCATCAACTTGGTTGATTTTCAAAAAATAAAAAAGAATGATTTTAAAAAAAAAAAATTTAACAAAGAATGAAACTATTGTGTTTTATACGGAAAAAGCCCTTGAATTATCACGTGACAATCACGTAGCTGTGTTCACCGCCTGAATCTATATATACTTGGTTGTGTTGAGGCATAAAAGACTAGGCAAATTTTCCCGGGCTTCGTGTAGATCCCGATCAATACACATTATACGATTCTCCACAATAACCTCCCTTTCCGGTTGCCGGCGTCCAGGAAAACGTCATCTCTCCTAGGGCGGCTTGTTTCGTCCCTGCGGGTATGCAATCTCTCAATTCTCTGTTACTTTTGTTACAGATTTTTGTATGATTAATTCTTGTATTGCAATTATGTATGGATAGTTTTGGTGTTCATTGAATTTGAATATGCGTTAATCGTCAAGAGGCGGTGGATATAGGAAAGCGATTCGTTATGGTGAATTTGTGTCCAGTATTGTTTTATATCGTCATTATCGATCACCGTTATTATAGTCTTTGTTTCGTTGAATCGTTTCTTATTTAGTTTGTTGCGTTAAAATGTTTTTCGGAAGCATACATTGTGAAAAGATCGAAGGTGTTTGCATCTGTGGATTTTGTTGAAGAATGATTATTTTTTCTTGTGATATATTCTTGTCATTCCAACCCTACAAAAGGCCAAGGATGAATGCGCGTCTATTCTCAATTTGTGTGAATTTTATGAGATCGCGATTGTGATTATTCTGGCTGATTAAAGAGAAAAAAAAAAACTGCTAACAGAAATTTATGTAATCTATAGGTCATGTGATGGAGTTCATCTTCATCAACAACGCAGAAAATGGTTCATATGATCATTTTTTATTTGTTAGTAAGCTGTTTGGTATTTGATAACCTCTGAATGATACCAGTTTTTTATTAGACTCTTTAGTATGGCCAGCAAAAGAATGATGATGCAAAATCCCTCATGTTTGTAGCTCTGCCTCTTATATATGTATATCCCTTCAAATGATTTGTAAGGGATGTTATTGTAGTATTTCAGTCTGTGATGATTGTGATGAACTAAGAGAACATCTTGTATTTTGCATAATTAATTATCCTGTGCATCATCGATGACTAATTGGTTTTGATATTGTGATTGGTGTGAAGGGTGAGATGATTTTTGATGATAAACAGCAGTGAATCCTTGCGATGCTTGTAATCCTGCATCATCCTTGTTGTTGAATGGGCTGTTGCTATTCCACTGTGGGAAGACGGGTTCCTGCCCGTGAAGACCCAAGGACTCTTGCTTCTCAGACTTCTTGTAATTCTTAATTTCCACATCATCAATTTATTAATTAATATCAATCATGATTCAGCTCAAAACTTGTTTTGATTTTGTGTCCACTGTATATATACAGTCAGTGTTAGTGAGGTTGAAGCACTATTTGAGCTATTCAAGAGCATAAGCAGTTCTGTAGTTGATGATGGACTAATTAGCAAAGGTAGTTTATGTCAGAATTTCTATTTAAGAATCGTAATTATGTAGATAAATAATTCAATATGTCATGTTTAATTATGTTCACTAACTATTATATATGCAGGAAGAATTTCTACTAGCTTTGTTCAAGAACAAAAGGAAAAAGAATCTGTTTGCAAATAGGGTATGTTGTTCTTGTTCCTCCAGTTTATTTTCAGTTCCATTGGCCAATTTTACTAAATTGAGTGATTTATGCAAATAATTTCACTAAACAGATGAACCCAATATAAGTGAAATTAATTTGCATATGGTATTAAGGTTTAAAAAGTTGCATATATGTACGTATATGTGTGTAGATTTTTAGTCTTTTTGACGTTAAGCATAAGGGAGTCGTCGATTTTAGTGACTTTGTTAGATCACTTGACGTGTTCCACCCTAAAGCTCCACTAGAAGACAAAATCAATTGTAAGTCCTTATATAATATAATTCTAAATCCCCCAATTACAATTTTTTCCAAATTCCAAAACCAACCAATAATTAATCTCTTTATATATATTTTTACTTTTGTTTCTCAGTTTCTTTCAAGCTTTATGATTTGGATGGAACAGGATTCATTGAGCGCCATGAGGTATATTTTTTGTTACAAAAGACGTAAATGTCCTCCTTGTTTTCATTATTTTACAAATTTTAATTTGCAGGTTAAGCTGATGTTAATTGCACTTTTACGTGAATCTGAGCTAAGGCTTGCTGATGAGACAATTGAGATGATACTAGACAATGTAAGTTTGCTTTTTCATGTTTGTGATTTTTATATACTCCTATTTTTTTATTTGTATGAGTTGTGAATTTTTATTTTTATTTGCTTTAAGCAGACGTTTTTAGATGCCGATGCAAACCGGGATGGGAAGATTGACAAATCAGAATGGCAAGCTTATGTTACCAAAAATCCCTCCTTGTTGAAAATAATGACACTTCCTTATCTAAGGTAATTAATTATTAATTATTATTTATGATAAAGATAATGTTACAGCTGATGGGTGTCATTCCCTTTTTATAATAAAATAAGTTTGTAAAAATGAATGAATGAATTGCAGGGATATTACGACAACCTTTCCAAGCTTTGTGTTCAATTCCCAAGTTGAAGAAGAGATTACATCATGACATTAATTGACAAGGAGGGATTTGATCATTTTTTCATGAAGAAATTCAAACTTGTACATGTTGAATAAAGAGGATCTAAAAAAATAACGCATGCATGCACTATAATGTGATGCACAATCGATAACGATTTGGATTTACATTCACCATTCTTGTTGTTGATTGACATTTCTTCTAACTTTGCCCATGCACAGTGTTGATTCACGTTATTAATCATAACTTTTCATCGTCATTCACAACAAGAAAATGCACCTTTAGGGACGACAAAACGCGTCGCAAATAGTCAAGATTGTCACCCCTAAAGGTATTAGGGACGACATGTCGTCTCAATTGGGTCGCCGCAAATACCTCGTAGCTAATACTCAAAAGTCGTCCTTAAAAGTGTCGTCCCTAATACATGTCGTCGCTAATAGCAATCGTCGTCTCAAAAGGTGTCGTCCCTAATAATATTCCGGCTACCGGTCAGTGTTACTCCGGCCAAATATTCCGGCGGGTGTGTCGTCGCTAATGCTTAAGATCGTCCCTAAAGGTGTCGCCACTAATGCTTGTTTTTTTTAGATAAAATTTATATTTTATATTAGTTTATATTATAAAAATACAAAATTTATACAATTATAAAACTTATAATTTAAAAATATGCATTACATAAAACATCAAATAACATTACATAAAATATATCACATTAACATCATCTAAGTCCATAATAACATCATCCATAACATAAAGTAATATATACTAATCGTCGTCCCCATCATCGTTTTCCTCGTCGTCGTTGGTCGCATTGTCGACTTGCTTGCTAAATGACCGGATAATATCTCCAATTGCCGTCACAAACGTCGGGTTTTAGAGAAAAGCGTTAACATCCACATCCTACAAAGTAAGAATATAAGTTAAAATATATCATACTATAAAAACAAATTATTATTACTTAACAATTAAGTCACAAACACATTAAGTCCTTAACAATTTAACAAACAACCAAATTCATAACAATTTAACAAACTAACAAACTACCAAACTATCAAACAACAAAATTTTACAACAAATTAATAAGTACCTGTGTTGGTTGCGGTGTCTGTGACTGTGACTGCCACTGGGTGGGAGCACTTGTACCCGTTACGGAAGGCTTAGGCCCGATGCCTCTCACATGTCCCCTTCGAGCACCTAACACCTTCTCAAATAAGGCTATCCAATCAATGGAGTTCGGATCACCACCGGAGTCGGCTATGTGCTGAGTTTGTAAAGCAACCTCAGCAACTAAAGCATTCTGCATTTCACGAAGATTGTTAATATACTTCAAAACAAACACAAAAAAACAACATTCTACTTCATTTTTAAGTAATAATAACTTACATATTGTTCTTCAACTAACGGGTCAACGAATTCCCCTTGTTTATTGACATGTGCACGGTGAAATAATTCAAGTTTATTCAAATTCTATTTAACATTAAAAAAATATGTTATACTTAAATAAACATTACAAAATATGTTATAACTGAATAAACATTAATGTAACTTACATTTCTGAAAGAAGCACTACCGTAGCTGCACGTCCCTCCACGATTCTTAACTACTTGCTTCTTCCGGCATTCTTTGTTTACACTGGATCGTTTACAATGTGTATCAGTTAAGAAGTGGCCAATAGTAGCACTCCAACGCGCTGAATCCATACCCACGGGGGGTCGAGCCCTTGCTGCCTCCGCACCCTCTAGCATATCTATAAATTTACCTTTTGCAATATTTTTGCGGCCTCTATACCGCTGACATATCCGATGGTTCAGTGATGCCCATAAAATTCTAGCATCGGGATGATTTGAAATGGCTTCAAAATCAAAATATGTCTACAAAAAAATAAGAAGTTAAAAATAAATCAAAATTAAACATGTTAAATATAACTTTATAAATAATAAATAATTTACCGAAAGATATGTAAACATGCCATTCCGATCGGCTTCAAGAACTTCTTTCCAGGTGTTCTTATCCAAAGCTATGTCACGCCAGATATAACTTCCAACCTCCCGAATGAAACATTCGTATACATCCCCAATCGGTACAAAAGTATTTCTGTCAAATATTATTTTTAGAGGTTGTCTGCCGTTTGCTTCATATAGCCGATGTATTTTCTTGTTTACTGCCATACCTCTTCGTCTGGCAGGTATAGCTGCAAAAAAATATTAGTAAAGATAGTTTTTTATATACATACAATATGAAATACAATGAATTAGAATAAATATTAATTACCATCAATCTGGTGAACACCAAAATCTCCACCGAACGGATGTGGTGGCTCGTCACCACCATCACCTCCATGGCCCATCACAGCAGCCATGAAATGAACGAATGCAACCCAAAAAAATAACATCCTGAAAAATTATAACACTATATATATATATATATATATATATATATATATATATATATATATATATAATATGAAAAATTATAACACAAGTGTACAATTTCATATTTTTCTAATTTTTTTTCCAATTATACAATCATGTACATTTCACATTATAACGTCAAATACACATAAACATTTTTACAAACATATACATACATTTTTACATACATATACAAACAAATACATACATTTTTACATACATATCCACACATATACATTTTTACATACATATACAAAAATATACATACATTTTTTCATACATATACATATACATTTCACATACAAATACATACATTTCATATACATACATACATTTTATCATAGATTTTTTCATATATTTACACCCATGTACATAGATTTTTCACATATACATACATTTCACATACAAATACTCTTATACACATATTTTTTCATACATACACATAAATTTCATAAACAAATACACATATACATTTATATTTCACATGCAAATACTCTTATACACACATTTTTTCATACATAGTCATACATTTCATATACAAATACATATATACATATATATTTTACATACAAATACCAACAAATACCAACATTTCTTATACCTACATTAAAAACAGAAAAAAAAAACCTGGAAATCATTTAGGTGGTGGTGCTATGGTCGAGGTCGCCGGAGTAAATGTGGTATCACCGGAGAAGAGGTGGTGTCACCGGAGATGTTGCTGTGAAACCACCAAAATCCAAAATTAACACACAAATTCGTTCTAGAAAAGAAATTGAAAGAGAAATGAGGGAAGGGAGCACCTACCGTTGCTGCAGATGCCGGAAAATTGGAGTTTGTCGCCGGAAAACGTATCACTGCGTCGGCCAAATGAGGGGGAGATGAGGAGTGAAGAGGAAAGGAGAAATGAGAGGGTTTATGGTGATGGTCGCCGATCAAATCGAGAGGATCGGGGTGTTTTTGGCCGGAAAATCGCCGGAAATCGTGTAAGAGATTTTTGGAGTGAAGCTGTAACCTGTTCTCAGAGACGATGGAGAGGTAAATTGGTCGTACCCTTTAGCGGCGACGCTATTTGCGGCGACAAGGCACTAATTGGGGCGACACGTTGGAGGGAAGATATCCCGCGTCTTTTTTGGTCACTAGTAGCGACGACAACATCGTCTCTATTATCGTCGCCGCTATTGCCCTGGTACGGTGAAACCCTGCCCGTTGGATCATATAAAAAACGAACGGCTACGATTCACTCTGGGCGAAGTCACACGGATCGCCGACGTGGACTATTAGAGGCGACCCTTTAGCGACAACGCCAAGCTTTTAGCGACGACAAACCGCATCTTGTCACATGTCGTCCCTAATACTACCTGTCGTCTCTAATGGCGTCGCCCCTAATAACTATATTTCTTGTTGTGATTCATCAATCAAGTATGTATAATACCCTATTCTGAAAAAAAAAAAAAAGGTCATTCAATCATTCATAAAAAAAACTCCCATATATAACTTATCAACTAAAAACCCACCTTTTTTTTGCATGCTAAATTATTCATCAGAAATTTTAACAAACACATTTATTCAACGGATTAGAATATTTTTTGGATCAAACCCAAAATCAAATGTATTAAACTCCACTTTCCATTAACAAGCTCTCATTGTTGGGTATTAAGGTTCTTAGAAATTGGGAGATGAATATGATACTGGAATTAATTATATACGTGTGAAATTATTTGACGAGTTAGAGTTTGTACTACAATTGGGGCCAACATGTGAATGTTGATGCATGATAAAAGTGTTTGTAGCACCATAAAAGTTTGATTTATGACGTTAATAAACAAGTATTATTTCTATTTCAAGCTGGTTATAACTCTTAAGAATCGAAGTGTTGACTTTGTGTAATTTAGTCAAACTTTGAATTGGGATGGATTGGTGATAATATGGTTAAATGGTATAAAGGAATTGTGTTCAGTAACATATTTTGGTAATGGGACTGAAGAGTTGCAGGGGATTCACTAAACACAGATAGTTGGATGCCTAATTGATAAACATCCAGAAATATTTTTAGAGTAAATTACAAGAATGGTCCCTACGGTTTGGGGTTCCCTAACTTTTTTTTAACTCCGATAATCCCCAAGGTATGTTTGTGTTGCATGATTGCTCCTAATCAATGTAAAAGACTAATTTTCCCTTATTAATTCCCTTTACCTTTTGTGTTCATCGGAAAAACACCTCCGGCCACCACCACCAGTAACCATGGTTGCAACCTTCTTAACAGTTGAGAGTTCCCAAAGATCCAAAATAAAAATTAAATCCATGGCTTCTAAACTGAAGGAGTGGCGGTGAAGGATTGGGAGAGGGTGTGAGAGAAAAAAAAAAAAAGACGCACACTTGACGCCGAATGTCAGACACCAGATAAACACCTTTCACCCACAGTTGTCGGAAACCTCTGCCTACCATTCCCCATTTCCCCTCATCGTTTTTCCTCCCCTGCAACCAAACCCACCCCATTCTTCCTTCGGATCTAAGACACGCGACGTCACAGTTGAGACAGTTCCAATGAACATCTGGATCATTTTCTCTGATGATACACACATTCACCGCCACCCATCATTTGCATCATCTTCTTTGATGATACAAGCATTCCGATGCGAAAGTGATCAGTTCAACGGGTGGATCTGGTTCGTCGAAAGGAGACTCGAGAAAAGGTGGTGGGTAAGAAGGTGGTCGTTGGCGACACCACTTATTCACGTCGTCATACCCCTTCACATCTTCGTGCTCCAGACAAGAAGTAGTGGCTAAGAGGGTTGCAAATTCGGACATAGAGTGGTTGTGTAAAAGGGAGTTGATGGTTTTCCGGAAGACAATGTCTGCAGACAGTGACGGATGGGATGGTATTGGTTGTCGGAGGTGATGGACTTTTGTACTATTCATGTAATATACTCTATTTTTTTTATGAAACTCGTGAAAGTGTATAAGGAATGATGGTGGTTATGTTGTATGTCATTCCCACTATTTAACAAATCAAACTCATTATTCGTTTGCGAAAAGTCCAAATACAAACGAAAAATTTATAAGTGTATATTACTACTCCATAATTCATACAAATACTCGTATAATCATATTTCAAATATTCCTCACTTTCAATTTCCAAACAACAAGAATACAAATAAAGGAACTATTCAAAATCACTGAGTTGAAATCATTTACAAACTCATACATTAATTGATTCTATCTAATTACTGTACAAAATCTAATTTAACAACACTCGATCAATCTGTGATGGTGATGCCCGTATCTATACGAAACCCTATATGAGAGACAATTGGGGCCCACATCCTTTAACCTAAACATCTTATACAAAGGGTTAAACCTCAGATTTGTTAAGAGATTTCGGCTACAACTTATACATATATATACAGAACATCCTCTTCAATCATGGAGAACGAGGAGCAAGCATTGAATATCTCTTGGTCATTCTCCCTTTCATATATCTTATCTTTGCATCCACTCTCGCCGACAACCCTATCTCTGTTTCTTGTCTTGCTTTCGATTGTTCCCTTTTCCACATCTTCCTATCTGTAACATCTTTCTTCAAATTCTTCATCTCCTGAAGAACATGATGATCTTCAGGATTGTAACATCTCTGATACGATATATGAATAAGATACGGCATGTTACACAATAAAGTCACTAATATCGTTGATAAATAAAACTTTTGTGCAGGCCCAAGAACTTCCGGTAGCTGATGATATATATTCCCCGCCGACCAACTCACCGGCAACATCCCATATATATAAACTATTAAATACCACACCACGATACTACCCCAGATTGTGTGTAATTGGACACGTGTCAAGTAATGAGATATTAGAAATATCTGAACATTCACCACCCATATTATGCTTGTAAACATAGCTGTACCTATCACGTACATATCAGCTGTTTCCCCTTCTTTACGAAAAGATTCAGGGCTGAAGATTCGCATGTTCACAATATAGATCACAATAGAAGAGTAAACCCCATTTGCTAACCACCCGATTATTCTATACCAATCGAAGAACAAATTCTTTGGTCCTTGTTGATATAAAGCAGGAAACTGTAGACATATGTCTGCGTTTACATCTTTCTCCAACACTCCTAGGGCAAGAACTGGACATGAAGTTAAGAACACGTTGTATAAAAGCATGTACCAGTCGTCGTAATGCATTTGACCGGAAAACCCAGCTTGGGCTTCGAAGTAGAAGAGCGTTAGGGCTAGGGTTATATTTTTATAGAAGAAATAGCAAATCATCTTTGAGATTCTTTTGTAACACCAGTGTCCATGAACAATCAAGAGTCTTTCCAGGAATCGGAACTGTGCGATTGCAAAATCGCTTGCCATTACAGCTTGCATACCTTCAACGCCGCTAATTCCGATTCCGATGTCTGCTTCTTTGATCATTCCGACGTCGTTTGCCCCGTCGCCGATCCCTAACGTCGTTCTTCCCGTTGCTTCTTTTACTAATCGAACTACCAAAGCTTTTTGCTTTGGGGAAACTCGACAACATATGACAGACGCGCAGTTTATGGCGAGGTTCAAAAATTGGAACTTTAAGTCGTCTTCCAAAGCGTATGTTAGCGTTTTTCCGTCGATGATCAAAGCAAATGGTGCGTTTGGATCTTTTTTTCCTTTTACTGTTTGTAATGCACTAGTGATTTGAGATAAAATGTTATCCTTTATAACGTCTTTCGTATCTTGAGCCAACATTTCTGCGGATACAACTATACAAATTTGCTTCATCCCTTGTCGGAGCAAACTACACGAGAACCCGATATTAATCGCCGTTTCCATCTTGTCGCCGGTGAGAACCCAAATTTTCAGACCGGCGAGAGCTAATCTATCAATACATTGAGGAACACCTTTCTGCAACTTATCTTCCACGGCGGTTGCACCGACTAGAGTAAACCCCTTTTCTATTTCATCTGATAGTTCTTCTAACACATCCTCTCTATCTGGCCCACTTGAGCATTGGGCCTTATGAAACTTTTCGTACCAATTCGAGTATTCGTTTTCATCAAGCTTTTTATATGCAAGTGCTAACGTACGCAACCCCGCGTCACCATAATCGTTCAAATTTTTCGTTGTCGCCTCCAGATACATTTTCCCGTTACTTGCTAACCGATCAAAAATAATGGTGTCTGCACCTTTACAAAACATAAGGATTTGATTGGTCTCATCACGTATAATCACCGACATTCTTTTCCTCTTGCTAGTAAAATCCAATAAAGTTAGAATTATGTATTCCTTTTCCACCGGTTCTTGGTTTATAGAAAGTCTTTCCTTAACTACGATGCTATTTTGAGTTCTTTTCACAAAATGAAACCCGAATTCCCGAGCCGCAACTAGAAAAGCCCCTTCATCAGGTGATTCTGCTTCGTAAGTCAACTCTCCGGTCTTCTCGTTCACCTCCGGAATCGCGGTGTGACACACCGCGAGAATACGGAAAAACAAAAGTATAACTTCGGAATTCGGTTCTTTCAACCAATTCCCATTTTGTAACCGGTCGTCTTGAAAGCTAAACCCTTTAATCGATTCCTTTTTCTCGGTGTTTCCATTGTTTGAGATTGTAATTGCTTCTAAAGAAGAGGAATTGCTTAAACCCCCGTGACTGGAATCGGAATCACGTGATTCCAATGCGGCCGCCATTTGTTTTGCCGCTGCAAGCTCGACTTCACTCAACCGTTTCCCATATGGACACCCTCCGATTGAACATTTTAAGAAATCCATCTGGTTGCATGTTAATGTCCCTGTTTTATCAGAAAGAATGGTGTCCACCTGCCCTAACTGTTCATTCAAATTTGATGTTCTAGCCTTTGCCGGTGTTCCGGTGACCTCATCATATAAATGCAAATCGCTGTTTATGAAACTCGCTTGAAGAATTTTAACGGCTTCAATTGAAACGTAGAGAGAAATTGGAACGAGGTAACCGTATAACATAAGTGCAGTGATGAGATGTCTTAGTGCAGAAACTAAGAAATCGTTTACATTGAAGTCTTCTCCGGCGACGTCTGGCCTCAGGTACCACCATAGCGGGACAGCGTTCCGGACAGCTAAACCGAACCCGGCAGCACTAACAATGGAGATGAGAATCAACAACCCGAATAACAGGTAAATGATTTTATCCATTTGAAGCTCGATTTTGCTTCTTTTTGATGGCGATTGTGTGGTGTTTTGCATCACTTTCGTATCATTTCCGGTGAAAACCACCGCACCAAATATGTACTCGGTGTTCTTTGAGCTTTGATTCGCGGAGTAGAAGCTGGGCTGGATCGAGAGGGTAAATTCGTCCCTCGTACTCTAAATTACCCATGAATGTGTACAAGTTAGGGTTAGGGTTTTCGCAGCGGATTGTGGGTTGGAAATTCCCAAAATGTGAAGCTCCATCATCGTTAACCACCGGAAGTGATAAATTCTGCAAAGCTCTTTTGACCTTTAAATTCGTCTCGCCGTCCAAATTCATGGTCTCGACATATGACATTCCATCTTCGTAGCTTGATTGGAGCAACAACAAATCAGCAGGGAAGAATTCATCTTTTTTTTACATTCACAATATCACCAACACAAACCTCCCGCCACTGTTTCTTCTCGAAAACACCGTTTCCGACATGCACAGCGGTGTCCCGACGATTTGCCGCCTTGTCCTGCCAATACCTTTGAAGATCTTCATACAATTCTTTGGCGAGACTGAAACCGACGACCAAGGCTAAGGGTACGACTTGGCTGGGCCAATCGAAGGGGGCATAGTCGGTGAAGGTTAAACCGGCGGCCACCAGGAAGTAAAAATTGGCGACGCGGTTGAATTGTTCGAAAAGGGCGATTGGGAGGAAGTTGAAGAATGTGTATTTGGTGGTGGAGACGTAATTTGAGCAGAAAGTTGGGGTGTCTTCTTCTGGGACGAGGGGTCGGTTGACTTGGATGACACGGGGGTAACCTGATAACTCTCCGCCGGCTTCTCTTTCTTGTACGATGGTTTTGACCGGATGTTGGCTAATGTGTAGAGGCTGCTCCGCCGCAGCTTGGCTCTTATTCCACCTTTTGCCATCAAAATGGAAGAATCCAAATCCACCCACTAAGATACATTTCCTGATGATGCTAGATTCATCGAAAATTGAAGCTCCAACAACGGAGGTGCAGGGAAGAGAGAGAGAAAGGGAATGATGTTGTGGTTGGGAGAATTTCATGTAGAATAGGAGAAAGAGAAACATTATACATTGAAATTAGGAAGAAAGGGTTTGACTCGGAGCATTTTACGTAGAATGGTTTTGTTAGAATTAGAATATAATCATTTTTTAGAGTAAATTACAAAAACAGGTCCATGTTTTTATGTGGTTTTTAAGTATCCTTATGGTTTAATTTTGTTTTGATTTTAGTCACTATCAAACATTAAACGATTATTTTGCAATTATCAAATGTTATTTTTTTTATTACTTTTCTACAATTAATAGGCCTAACCCTCTATCATTTAAGTAAAACCCAAATTGATTCTTTTGAATCGGATGTAATATTATTATTTAAGAAATTGATTCATCTACATACATGGAATATATATTTTATTGACTTGTATAATAACTATAAAAAACCTTGTCTCTTATGTAATTGAATCAATTTCTTAAATGGAGATATCACATCCTTTTTAGAATTAGATTATTAACCGATCAATTTTAGAGAACCGTTAAATCATCATGATTTAAACAAGTTATTTCAAAAACTTATATTACAAGTACTTTTATATGTTAATTTTTCTTCACTATGTTTAAAGTTTCAAGATGAGTTTGCATTATTAGTTTGGGTTAATACTTTAAAAACCATTATTTATACATATCTATTTTGATTTAACCTCAATATTTTTTTGTTACTTATTTGCCATTAATTGTGTTGACTGGTTATGAAAAATCAATGCTAGCCGGTGTCGTCGGTTTAGCAGGTAACCCTAACTCTTTACATACCCAAAATCGTTATTTTCCCCAAAACCTCTCATTCACTCTTGATTAGGTGTTCTTCCTCACACATCACGTTTTCTTCTCCATGGCTTCGTCTTCAACATCTTCTATCATCAAACCGATTTATCGCACCAAGTGTGATTGTGGTGATCAACTGCAACACTCAGTTTCAAGAACCGATAAAAACCCAGGAAGAAAGTTCAAGGCATGCCCTAACTATAAGGTAAAATTAAGGGATTTTGTTTTCCCATTTTGTTATCTTTCAAAATTTATTAAATGAAGATTTTGTTGGTAGGGTACCAAAAAAAGGTGTAAATATTTCAAGTGGCTTGACACAGACGAGTTGGAGTTTTATGCTAATGATAGGGAGCCCTATAACGAAATTGTTGCCAATGGTGTTCTGCAGGTGATCAAGTTGCTAAAGTTTGTTTTGGTGATATTGGTGATTATTGGAATAATTCTTATAATTGGCATTGTATTTTAAGAACCAGTTGGTTAGGGCAGTTGTAATTTTTTTGTATTTTTGGTATGGTTAAGGTTGTTGTAGGTTTGTTATTTTGGTTAGGGCAGGTGATCAATGTAGTTATGGTAATGTTTGATGGAGAAGTGTATTGATGGTAATCCAATGCTATTTATGTCCATGTAATTTGGTATTTGCATTATAGTGATTCATTACAATGTAGTTATGGTAATGTACTAAAACTTGTGTAAGCAAAGGGGTATTACTAAAACTTGTGTAAGCAAGTGAAATGTACTAAAACTTGGAAAAACTTGGTATTAACTAGAATGTACTAAAACTTGTGTAAGCAAAATAACATATGATTGTAAGCAATTGAAATGACAAGCAAAGTGAAATGACATTAACTTCAAATACTTGCATTCTTAAATAACATAAAATGGGGTATTTGTAACGCCCGTAGATCCGGGCTAGTCAATTTAGAGATAATAGGGTCGAAAATGACTTTTCGACAAAAGATTATAAATAATCTTAACCAAGTGCTAGTATATGTTACAAGGGTTCCGTACATATAAAGAACGCCGAAATCCGAGTTATAACGAAGAAGTTATGACCCGTCGAAGTTTCGCGACGGAACCAGCACGGCACCGGGAGACGTAAAAAGTGAATTTACGGTAGAAGACTTTTTAGCCTTAGTGATCTAAACAAAAGTTATAGTATACGTTAAACCGAGAGTGCCCATAAAAAGAACACCCACATCTGACTTCGTATGAGGAAGTTATGATTTTTCGAAGTTTCGGCTTAGCAGTGTACAGCCCGAAACTCGAATTTTAGTTCTAGCGGTTTTTGGCTTACGCGACCTAAATGAGAGTTGAAGATCTCATTAATAGGAACTCAACGATAAAAAGACAGACGAAAACGGAGTCCGTATGAAGGAGTTACGAATTCTTCGCGGTCATTTAACAGTCTAATCTCCTCCTACTGTTAAATTTAAGATCGGTCGAGAATTAGCCGACAGAGTCTAAATGAAAGTTGTAGATATTGTTTTTACCTACACATGGAAAAAAAGAACGTCGAAAACAGAGCTCGTATGCGAGAGTTATGATTTTTCTAAGTCGGGAGGCTGATACGCGAGTTTGGGTGACGTGGCACCACCAGAAAGAGGACACGTGGCACCACCAGAAGGCTGCCACATGCACCAACTCAGCGAGTCTGTGTCAAGACTCGGCGAGTCCATCAGATATTTCCACTATAAATAGAGGTGTCGGGTTCCTCCATTTCTCACACCATCCCAAACTCACTTTCTCTCTCTAGTTTCTCTCTCTAGCCTCCCAAACCCCCCCTAAAGCCTAGGTAAACCCCCTAGCACCCGAATGAAGCCCCAAGGCTCCCGGAGCGCCTGACGGCTCCGAAGAGAAGAGCCTCCGGCTCAGAAACTCTGCTCCGGCGGAGCCCGGTTATCGAGAAAACCCGCTGTAAGTGAGCTATGTCTACCCTATCTTTAGTATAGCTTATGTTTTAATATAGTAATGTTATTAGGAACTTATAATAAGTACTTGGGATATTATTATGGGTTATATAAGTATTGTTTAACGCTTATATAATAGTAATAATAGCTAGACTATTAATTAGTCGCGGTTAACGTTAGACTAAACCCTAGTGGTATTGATACTAGGTTTTGTCAAAGGAAAATTGTTTTGGGATAACGAAGTGCTGTCCGAGTACCGAGTCACCACCTAATCAGGTGAGTGCATAGTCTCTTTCATCTTACACATAGATATGAAGTATTTTAATATAAATTACGTGCTATGTGTGCATATTGTCTGAATACTTGTTGTCTATGCTGGGTGAAAGATTTTTATACATGTTTTAAATGATTTAAACTGTATATGTATTTTATATCTACAAAATGTGTTGGGTAAAACATGGGTAGATGAAATAGTTGCTGTGTGATAACACAATGAAAGACATCAATGTTGACAGTGATCCAGTCATCTAGTGGAATATAGATGACGACCACGGACGATACTAGACAGTCCAGTGGAACGCTAGCAGGCTCGTAACCTGTAGGTGTTTTTGAACTAGGTGCTCATTAGGTATTTTTGAACTGAGTGTGTTCACTAGGTATTTTGAACTGAGTGTGTTCACTATGTATTTTTGAACTGAGTGTGTTCACTAGGTATTTTTGAACTGAGTGTGTTCACTATGTATTTTTGAACTGAGTGTGTTCACTAGTTATTTTTGAACTAAGTGTTTACCAGATGCTTTGGACTACGTGTTCCCCAGTTGTAATCTATAAACCTTGGCAACAATGGACTTCGTACCTATTCCTTAGGATAATCCTTAGGAATGAATGAACAAGAAATAGTTGATTCTTAGGGTAGATCCTTAAGAGTAAATAAGATAATGGGGATGGGTAATTGGGTTAATTGTTTGATGATTAAACATAATAATTATATTATTGTGGGTTGAAAATCCTATGTACTCACCAGGTTTCCCAACCTGACCCACTCAAGCTTATTTGTATCACAGGTGTCGATACGAAGCTACTTTACACTGAGAGATTTAAAAGAGATGTAGATCACTAGTGTAAATAAATGTAAGTTCTGTTTATGCTTATGTTCCTGTATTGACAATGACATCCCAAAAGTTTTAAAATGAATAAAAATACATTTCTTTGGAAATGCGTTGATAACGTATTTATCATGTTTTTCTGGGAACAAATTCTGCAACAATTTTATTAAAATAGGTACTCTGATTTTTATAAAGCATAAACAAAATCGGTCTTTTTTGGCCGTGAAAACGGGGATGTCACAGTATTACAATCAGATTCAAACATCCAATTGCCCAACAATCTGTCTAATGGCCATTAACTACCAATGTTCAAAAAGGCCTAATTGAATACTACTAGATGTTGATATACAATTGGATGGTTGTTACCAAAAGCTGATGAAATGTTAACAAAAAGGGCAAGCAAAATACATAGTGCCCATGATACCCCCTCCTAAATAGTCCTACTCCAAATTAACTGGTTTCTTAATACTAGAACCCCTTCCATCCTTCTCATAAACTGCTTTCTTCATATTTATCTTCACAATTTTCTCAGAAATATTCATTTTCCTAGGCCTCCCAACAACTTGTGTATCTTCAATGAAGTCAATATCCCCATCAATTTCCTCATCATCTTCGCCAACCCAAGCATTAGCATCTAAACCTTGTATAGCAACTTCCCTTTGCACTGGTGGCACAATCTCATTAGCATCTACAACCTGTAAGACATGATCCAGTTAATTACCATATGTAAATCACATATTAATTATAGGAAATTTAAAGTAAAGGTTGGCATAACATTTCCAAGTTATCTTCAAGCAAGTTATCTTCAATTTCATTAACATCCTCTTATAAGTCTGCTTCCAAGTGATCTTCAATCTCATTAGCATCTACACCCTGTAAGACATGATCTAGTTAATTACCATATGTAAAGCACATATTAATTATAAGAATTTTAAAGTAAAGGTTGGAATACCATTTCCAAGTTATCTTCAAGCAAGTTATCTTCAATCTGATTAACATTCTCTTCTAAGTCTGCTTCCAAGTGATCTTCAATCTCATTAGCATTTACCTCCTGTATCATATGATGAATTTAAGAATTAAAACACAAATGAGGCAGATATAAGAAATTAAAAATAGAGTTTGGCATACCATTTCCACTGGTGACACAGGTTCAGGAATCACATTGACCCTTTCCAAAGCATGTGCAATCTCATGAGGTTCATAACAACATTTCTGCAACATCAATACATCTATTTCCTCAATACTAGCATCTGCATCATTCACAATCTCATGTGCAGTTTCTTGTACAGTTCCAATTTCTTCCTGCACAGTTTCCTGTCCAGTTGCATGATTTGCAGTTTCCTGTACAGTTGCATCATTTGCAGTTTCAAAAGTTGCTTGATTTGAGGATCCTTCTCCAGCCTTCTTTGTCTTCTTCTTCTTTCTTTTCACTGTAAGCTTAACTTTCTTTTGTTTTGAAGTTCCCTCTCCATCCTTATTTGTTATACCATTTACATCCCTCATTGGCCTTCTTGGTTTTCTAGGTGGCACATACTCCTTCATCACTTGCTCATTCTTACAGGATTTCAAGTTATGTCCGAATTGTAAACATTTGCTACACCTAACAGTCCTACAAATTCTAGCTCTAACAGTTGGGAACTTGGAATCATTGACCTCAGACACATGCCTTTTTCTCTTGGTTTTTGGCCTACCAGGCATTCTCCTTGTCTATGGAGGTAATTGCTTTATATAGTCAGTGGGTGCCCACATGTTGCTTCCATTCACTGGTGATATATTTGTGGTATATGCAGCTACAAATTTATCTTTTTGGAAACAAATGCTTAGAAAATCAGTTGGATTCATGTGAGTGTAGTTTATTGCTGCTTGACCATGCACACATGGTATTCCAGATATCTCCCATAGTCTACATGTGCAATAGTGGTGTTCCAAATCCACTTTGTAAGCTACATACCCATACCTTGTCTCAAATACAGACCCCCAATTGCTATCACTTTCCAGTTCCTATAAATAAAAATTAAAAATAACAATTTCATGTTAAGTATAAAGCACAATTTAATGGTAAGTAGTAACAACTTAATGGTAAGTATTTACCTCATCTCTTTTCCAAACTCCTTCATTTTCTGTATGATAGTTGGACAAGATTAAGTTCTCCAAGTAGAAGCTTTATCAGCCAAATAACAAAAACTAGCCATGACATAGATTTTGATTTCCTCTAACATTGTGAAAAGTGGTTTTTTCCTAATATTTATGATCATGGAGTTGAAGGACTCAGAAACGCCATTTTCCACTGCCTCACATGCATAACCTTGTCCAAAAAATGCCCTACACCATGATTGCGGATTGTTAGACATCAACCAATCATATCCATTTGAAGTGATTTTCTTAATTTTTTCCATGTTAGACACAAAATCCCCTTCGTGTGAACTAGTTGCAGCAGCCTAGAACAAGTTCTTCAACTCTAAACATGTATGCCTCTTCCTGAAGTTGGCATAAATGTATCGTGCACACTGCCTATGTTCAACATGTGGAAGGATAGCTTTCACAGATTCTAGCAGCCCCTGAAACAAGTAAATACAACATTAATATTGGTTAGACAATATAAATGAATACATGACAAAATTTTTAGTATTTATGTTTACCTTGTGTTGATCTGAAATGACAACTAGACCCCTTTCACCCTCAACACCCAAGTCATCAACCAAAAGCTATAAAAACCAAGTCCAATTTTCTTTGTTCTCTACATTTACTACAGCCCATGCAATTGTATACACGTGATTGTTAGCATCTCTTCCAATAGCAGTCAAAATCTCCCTTTTGATTTGTCCCTTTAGGAAACATCCATCTAAGCCAATCACACTTCTGCACCCTCTATTCCACCCATCTTTCAATGCCTTAAAAACATACATAAAAACGTTGAAAATAATTCACCCCATCTGGATTTACTGACACTCCTACTTTGCATGTGCTTCCAGGGTTAGATCTAAGGATTTCATTGGCATAATCCCATACCTTAGCATAGTGTTCCTCTAGTTTACCTTCTATCATTTCCCTTGCCCTTACCCTTGCTCTATGGCATTGCCCCTTTGACACTTTCACTGAGAATTTTGTAAGGACATCCTCCATTATCTCAGACAATGTTATTTTGGGCTTCCTAATTAGGTCCTTGATGTAGTGTTTTGCTAACCAATTACAACTAACCAAATGTCCAAAATTATAATTCCTTGCACAAAGATGTGTTTCAACCATAGATTTTATCTGAAACGTACGTTCATTATACTTCCATGAAGCATGGATCCTAAAAGGACATGGTTTTTTTGCATTTTCCCCATACCTAACAATTACCCTGCTTTTATCACTTTTCATGAACCAAAGTTGGTATCCATTAGCTACAGCGTAGTTAGTGAGTGCAAACCTTAACTGAGCAGGGGACTCGTATAACTCACCAACGGTAGGCTTCATTTGGTTCCACTTGACGGTAGGATCGTGCACCCTGAACTCGACACCCACTTCCAGGTCATTTTCATATTCAAGGTGTTCATGCTCATGCTCTTCCTGGTGAATATCTTCAACATCAGCTTATTCGTCCCCTTCAAATTGATTATTCTTTAACATTTTATCATCACATAAAATGTTAAGAAAAGGGTCGTCACACAAGTTAGATGTAGGATTGAAGTTATATGGTTCAACATCCAACAATCCTTACTCAAGAAGATCATCATCGGACTCTTCATCACGTACGTATCTCAACTTTGTCTTCTTTGTCGTCTTTGATTCTTTACTTTTCCTTCTCCGTGATGATTCTGCCATCAAACCCTTGAAAACCTTCGAAAACCCTCTTCCAAAACCCTCTTTTGACAATGATTGTATCTGATAACCCCTTTGTTAGTCAGTCGAGAGAAAAGGTGGTGGCTACTATGCACGTTCCCAATAATTAGTACTCGAGTGAAAAGAGGCAACCGACAAGGACTTGATTACTAGTTGTTAACCGGGTAAGGTTTAATAAATGGAACACCATCTCATTAACAGTGACAAATAAGTAACAAAAAAAAATATTGGGGTTAAACCAAAATGGATATGTATAAATAATGGTTTTTAAGGTATTAACCCTATTAGTTACTAGTTGTTAGTATATCATAATCGAATTAGTTTTTTTATATAAGTAATTAAAGTTGGTTATTAATTGATAAATAAATTTGTATATAAAAAAAATTATACATTAGATTATAAATGGGAGTTCTTTCATTATAATTATCTAATGTGTAAATAAAAAGATCATAACAATATCAATTTTAAATCGGCCAAAAACTTAACTTAAAATTAATTTAAAAACGCCACTACTAACTCGTTTCTAAGATAACTTGAAACATCCAACGGCTAGTCTTCATATATCACCATTTCAAATTACAATAAATTAAAAGTATTTTGAAAGCCTAATATTATAAAGGACAAAAAAAAGACATGTCTTTTGCTTTAAGCCTTTTCATGTTTTGAATCCAGTCCATGACCCATGCCATGTTAAGTAGGACCAAACTTATATTTAATATTGAGTTTTTTAAAACATAAAATATCTTTTTATGAAATTGTTTATTAGTTTAGAGTGGACGGTTTTGTCACCCCGCATCCCGTTAGTACCGAAGGATGAGGGCGGTGTTCCCGCATCTCCACCCAACTAAGTTGGGTAATTTTCACTTGCATGTGTTCTTCTCCATCCCTCTACCAATACGATATCGGTTGCTCCATCACGAATCTTCCCCCTCTCAATCTTTCACCTATTTCATGTGTTATTCCTTATTAACTTGGTCATGTTTAGTTACTAACTTGGTCCTTATTATTAAAGCATGCTAAGTTATCTTCCATCGAGAAGGATCTAAGTAGCAAAGTTAATGAGATAATTTAACCCCATGAAGCTTAACAATATACAAGAGATAAATGTTTTTCTTTTGTAGTTTTTTATATACTGCACGTGTAACATCCATTTCGATTAAACACTTTGTTGTAAACTAAAACACCCATCCTATGTGCGAAAATAATTAATGTTATTTTTTTGAAACATTTAATCATTTTAAAATCATCGTTTTGTGGAATATGGTCCCAAAACTCAAATTAAAGAACTTAAGTTCAAAAGTTTCAAATATGAGGGTATTCAGCAAATATCATAGCATGAGTTTAGAACGAACCACTACATATTTCCCGCCTTCTATATGTAACATCCCAAAATTAAAGCAAAAATTTTCAGTTTTAAACCAATCCAAAAACCACAAATATCACAAAATCATAGTTTCCAAAAGTCATAAAACAAGAATCAGAGTATTCCTAAAATCATAATCTCATAAATCCCAAGATGATATTCACGATCAAGCCTTCGTCTTGCCCTTGTCCTTTGTAGTACCTGAAACCATAACAATTAAACTGTAAGTCAAAGCTTAGTGAGTTCCCCAAAAATATCACCGGACAACATATAACAACATGCATATTGGGTCCACAGTCCTCAGACTGGAGTACCCCCCTAAGCCCACATCATGAGTCTGTTTTGCCCACCTGGCCTACAACTCATGTCTAGATTGCTCCTGAGCCCACAACATAAGTCTGGCTTGCCTTCCCGGCCCACAACTTATGTATGGCTTGCTTCCAGCTTTGTTGGCTTCCTCACAGAGCAGTAATGCCTCAACCCAACCACACTATGTCGACCTGTGAAACAAATAAACATATAATCAGCAAACAGATAATCATGCTGATCTAACAGATCACTACAACATAGCAACATCCTATATACCATGATACATAACCCAGTGGGCTGGCATTGGTGCCTTCGACCCACAAGTACAGTAAGGAAAACTCACCTCACAGACTGAAAAAATAGATGAACTGATTGTTGCTCCAGATACTGACTCTACTGGTCACCTATACAAAAAACAGTGACCAAATCTCCATCTACTGTTCAAACTACACTATTTTGACCTAAAGTCAAACTTGGTCGACGGTTAAAGTCAATGGTCAATGGTCAAAAGGCCAAAATCTTTATTCAAAAATCCCACAGCCTGTCGTCAGGTCGTGACCCTCTAGTTGTCACGTCGTGACCTAATGAGACAAAATAGTCGAGATGGTCCATTCTCACGTCGTGAGAAGCGCTCTGAAGTCTGAACAGCTAGATGAATTAACGTCTTAATCCCTTTTGGACAAACACCCAAAGCTTCTAGAATGTCTTATCTACTCCAGAACATCATAAAAATTATGGCTTTTGGACATGCATGTCCAGTGCATGTCTCAAACACAAACTAGGGCACAAAAGGGAGAAATGGAATCAAAACTCATGCAAGAGTCTTAAAACTTAACCACACTTTAGATTTAACACTTATTTTTTATCAAAGGGACGTTGTAGATCCATAAAGTTGGTAACTTTATGGACTCCAAGCACCATAACACTAAATCCATGAAAGAAAATCTATAAAAGACTAGATCTAAGCTCATAAACCCATAAAACTATGATCTTGAAAACTCACAATGGTCCAAAAGGTGTGGAAAAGAATGATGGAGAGGCTTGAGTGCTGAGATGATGGCTAGATGGTATTCTTCTTCTTCTTCTTTGCTATAAATAACCATAAAGAGCTCAAAAACCAACTATGGAGTGTGAGGGTTTCAAAGGGGGGAGTGTTGAGAGGTGATGGAGGCTTAGGGTGGGTAAACCCTAGCCCTCGTTT